AAAAAAGTCAGTTTTGATTTCGTTCAAAAAATATAATATGTCCGTTTTAACGAAATGACTGTTATATATGAAAGAATTTTCAACGGTTTTGAAAGAGGCGAATCAGGAAAATGCTATTACAAAATGGACAGCGGTCCAAGGGTGTGCGATTGTGGCAGGCCTTTCATGTCTTTACGGACTTTAAACTTACATCGAGCGAGGGCATGCCCGACCGCAGTGACCGAAAGAACACCAGGGCAAGAGATGGGTGTGGTCGATGAGGCCGGACCATCAAGTATAGGTGCAGTGAATCTCATCAGTGATGAGAGTGAGGACGTCGGGGCTCCCGACAATGTTGAGGCGGAGGGCGGGACATTTGAAGAACAACAACTGCCACCTGTAGAGTATTTCAACAGCTCTCGCAAGCTAGCGACACTGATTTTCTCTGCCAGGGGCGGTGTCGGTATGTCGCAGAATGACATCGATGCTCTCTTGTCACTTCTCACACATCCGAGATTCAACACGAGAGACATCGCATATCGTAATAGTCGAGAGTGTTTGACATGGGCAGGGAGTCTAGCAGAGGCTGCTGGATGGCAAGAGCTTGATCTACGATGTGATGATTGACCACTAGATGCGCACGCCATCTTGTAGCACCGCGACTGGCGAAAGACATTTCTGTTTATTTTGCAAATCGCATTACAGAAATGTGAGACGGTGTCTTCTCTGGAAATGTCTCCTCCATCAGAGCACCTCAATATATCCGGCCCTCGCACTGGGGTGCTAAGTTATCACGTATTGACAATCATTAGAGCGGACAAAGGTGTGGATAGAAATGGTAATCCACGTTATGTTATCCCTCTCTCATTGTATTCCGATAAGATACATATATACGGTCGTAAAAAACAGACAGCGTACCCTCTGATCACGTCACTGGCCGACCACACATCCGAAGCCACACTGCTGGCCTATCTTCCTGTGCTTCATCATCGTCCACGTGACAAAGGATGGGGTCTGCAGTCCAGCGCATTTAGAAAATGAAAGGGCGTCATTTTGCACAAGGCCCTTGCAGTGGTGTTGCAGTCTGCGAAGGAGGCATCTCATGATGGCATAATGATACCAACAGAGCAATTCGGGGATATAAATGTCCACCCTTTCCTCCTCAACTATATACAAGACTACCAGAAAGATGTGCGATTGCAACTGTGAAATTTGGTGTGTATCCAACGTGCACCGTGTCAAAAAACGACTTTGATGTCGTGGCCGATTTCACGAACGGCAGGAGATCACAGACACTGGGAACACAACTTGCAGCAGATGTGTTCAATGCCGATGACATCGACCTTGGTCGTGTGGCTGAAGCACAAATGTCAGAGTTGAACATGCATAAGCATGTTCAACAAAACGGCCTTTGGGGATTCTACAGGGGCCCCAATGGTGATGATCCTCAGCTAGACTACCACCTGGCATTGCAACCAGACCGTATGCACACAATCAAGCATGGCATATTCTTGCACATGATTGACACATTCAAGACCGCAGACTTTGAGAAGCTGGCACACTTAACACACACAGAGATCCTCAAGGAACTGGATGCAAGGTTGCAAAGCGTTAGTGAGAGATGCTCCGGAACATACCCACAACTTGTGCTGCCCGTGGCCACTGGTAGCGACTTTTTTTCGAGGGAGGGACGGTTTGAGACCAAGCAAAATCGGTCTGTGATGACAGTGTGTGTGTTCCTTATTTCTAATATTATCCCACGCTCGACAGGCAAGGGCATTACCATTTGTTTTGTGAAACTAATGAAAATGTACATACGTATGTTTCGGTGCACAACACACTCGTGCTTCGCTCAATGAATGTGATGCTTTGATCATGGACTTCATAACGACCATCAAAGTAAAACTAGGAAAATATCAACCATCAACATGGAAACTCCCCAAGTTGCATGATCTCATGCATCTAAGAATGTGCATTGAGCGATCTGGTGTCCCCGACACCTTCGCGGCAGATGTCTGGGAGCATCACCACAGGAAGTTCTGCAAACAGCCATACCTGTCATCAAACAAGAGGAAAGCTTCAACCCAGATGGTGAACCATGTACGCCGGTCACTAACATTGCGCGAAGAGACAGAGATCATAAGGAAACGAAGGAAGAGAACGGTTGAGAACCGGTCGTTCGTGACAGACTGTATGGCGACCGGAATGAACACCCTGTCACTACGCGATACAACAACTCTGCAACTGAGGTAGTTCGACATCGATGATGAGTACATACAGAAGGAAGAAGGCATTGACAACCTTGCGTGTAACATACTCAAAGAGTTTCCTTGCAGACTCAATTTTCGAGCTGCGTTGACGACGTACATGGTGGAGAATGATTGTCAACCTCTTTCTGACCAACTGCTCGTACACACAAGAACACACCTCGCCATCGCCTGCGTACAAGATGAAACAAACAGCGGCACGCTTGTTCAAACTGCAAGAGCTTCCCCATAGTTTCATGGGAGAGCAGTGCATAGTGATGTGGCAATTAGACCAGGCAATGAATGAACATGGTTTGCATCTATGGCCATGTTTTTTGTCGTGAACACACCCACGGACAACGGTAATGCTGAACACAGGTGCGAATTTGTGCAATGGTACAAGGAGGTCGACAGCAAAAGACAACAAATAACAGGTTGCAAGAAATTGAAATGGGAGAAGTTGAATGAACATCAACGCAGTAGCGTTATATGGACTGCCACTATCGTAGACACGGTTCATATTGTTCCATGTTTCTTGTAAGCAGAATGGGGATCGAAGCAGCATGCAAAACAACGTGAGGACAATTTTTATATGAACAAGTATGTATCAACAGAAAAATTTCCACGAGAAATAAAAGTTGAAAAAACATTCTATAAAAATAAATTCCTTCATATTTATAAATTATAATTTCAATGTTCATTAAATTCTAAAATTTTCAGTTTTATTTTATAAGTTCCCGTCTAAATATGAGTTTTCCCTTCCAACTACATCTATTTGTTCAAGATGGAATGAAAGTCTGGACAAGTTTATGAAACGTTTTAATTAAAATTTTATTATACTACAACAAATATCTCTTAATTTAGATTGGATTAACATATTTATGACCGAAAATCCTTACTTAAAATGACAATCCAATTAAAATATTTCATGAACTCATCCAGACTTTCGTTCAAATGAGAAGGGATACCCCATTCTTGGACGAAAAGTTTTCAAGTAAGACGAAAAATTTTAAAATTAGAATGACATTTTTTAAGATGGAATGAAAATTTGAAATTACGAATGTAATTGTACTATAGAATGATTATTTAATTTTGGAAAAATTTTCTGTTGAGTGTACAATAAACAAATGATAAGTTTCTAACTTTGCTATCAGAGAACCACGCCCTGTGAAAAACGAATGTTGTTTCGTTATGATCTCACATGAGAGAGTGGTACAGGAGAGAGAGAGAGAGAGAGAGAGAGAGAGAGAGAAAGAGAGAGAGAGAGAGAGAGAGAGAGAGAGAGAGAGAGAGAGAGAGAGAGAGAGAGAG